TTTGCATGCTGGCCACAGCCCCCAGCCACCTAAGCTCCCAGTGGAGGCTGGCTGGAAGCAGGTATCTGGGATTTATTTAGCTTCTATAATTGAAACTTTGTTGCCTTTTCGGGAGGCTACAGCCGGCCAGGGCAGGTGGGAAGCTTGGCTTCCTCCATCGCCGGGCAACCAAGCCTCCTGCTTGCTCCAGCTCTGTGGCTGCCAGCTGCAATCTTGGTTGGGTTAATTTGCATATAGTTGCTCTGATTGGCTGGTGGGCGTGGCTTGGGTATAGTGAGGGCATGGTCAATTAGCATCTTTGTCTTTTATTAGTGTAGATATGTTCTCACTTATATGTGCAATCTAAAAAAATAACCCCACAAAATTAATGATAAACTAAACAGAAACAGACTCATAGATATAGAAAACAAGCTGATGGTTGCCAAAGGAAGGGAGTGGGAGATTGAGAATAAAAAGTCACTAGTAGAAAGTATAATTTCATGAAAGAATATTCCAAAAGTTCTAGGCAGATGATATGTAGTTGTGAGGAATTAGATTAGGCACTGTTAAGGTAAGAGGAATGCATACAATGATTATAAGTAAGAATGTTCTACATAGAAAGTCTTTTTCTTGCCTAATTGGAAAGAGACCAGTGTTATGCTGCCTGTGTCTTCTCAAACTGGAGAGACCTGGTAACTCTCTTATTTCATTTACATACATTAATGAGTGTTACTAATTAGGAAAACAACATGGAAAGTTAAAATATCTTTGTACAAAAAGCATTCTAGTACCAACATGTGCATAGAAAATACCATGGGAAGATATACACAAGTATTGGTTATTTTTGTGCCAATCACCTAAGCACAGAGTTGTGGAAGACACACAAGACTTTTCAGGAAGATTATCTCATGTCCACTGCTGAGATATCAACCTGGCAGTGCCCTGAGGGTCAGTCTAGTCTTAGGTTTATTTTGCAGACATCATTCCCTCAAATCCAAGTTATTCAGCTGACACCAGGGAGGCTTTAGCAGAACAGGCCAGGGTGGGCTTGGCAAACAATTGGCAGCCCAAGAACCTATTGTGTGGTTTGGCAATTCAACTTGGGTTTTTTTTAATATATTCTTATTGATTTCTAAGAGGAAGGGAGAGGGAGAGAGAAAAAGAAACATCAATGATGAGAGAGAATCACTGATCGGCTGCCTCCTGCACGCCCCCACCAGGGATCAAGCCTGAAACTTGGGCCTGTGCCCCTGACCAGAATCAAACCCAGGACCCCTCAGTCCACAGGCAGACACTCTATCCACTGAGCCAAACCGACTAGGGCTCAACTTAGATCTTTTTAAAAATCTCCCCACCAGTGTGAGATGCAAGTTGTTTCCTTATCTTTCTGGCTCATCCAGTAGGTAACTACT